GTGCATTCCCAAGAAACCAAACGTCCTAGGCTTTGGTGAAACTTTGGCCATGGTTTCAACTTTCTCTGCGCTTTTATTCTCTCTGATCACAGCTATGGTACTTGGCCTTTTCATTAAGCACCGGGACACTGCCATCGTCAAAGCCAATAACAGAAGCCTCACTTACATTCTCCTCATCTCCCTCCTCTTGTGTTTCCTCTGCTCCTTGATGTTCATTGGAATGCCTAATAAGGCAACCTGCCCACTCCGACAAACGGCTTTTGGCATTGTCTTCTCTGTGGCCCTCTCTAGCATCTTGGCCAAGACTATTTCAGTGGTTTTGGCATTCATGGCTACCAAGCCAGATTCCACAATCAGGAAGTGGGTGGGCAAAAAACTGGCTTACTCCATTATCCTTTCCTGCTCTGTGATTCAAGTAGGAATCTGTGCCTTCTGGCTGGCAACCTCTGCCCCATTCCCAGATGTGGACATGCACTCAAGCAGTGAAGAAATTATATTCTTATGTAACGAAGGGTCAGTTCTCATGTTCTATGGTGTTTTAGGCTACATGGGCTTCCTGGCCATTATCAGCTTCACTGTGGCCTTCTTAGCCCGGAAGTTGCCGGACAGCTTCAATGAAGCCAAGTTCATCACCTTCAGCATGCTGGTCTTCTGCAGTGTTTGGTTCTCTTTTATTCCCACATACTTGAGCACAAAAGGAAAATACATGGTGGCTGTGGAGATCTTCTCTATCTTGGCTTCCAGTGCTGGGCTGCTGGGTTGCATCTTTTCCCCTAAATGCTACATCATTGTGGTGAGGCCTGAGCTGAATAACAGAGAGCAGCTGATATGGAGAAAAGTGTAAATTACAGTATAGTTTGGCATTTCTGTATTTAGAATCTGTAGAATTGTTTTCATGGTAATTTCACCATCCTTTTTCAAGAAAGGAAGTTACCTGAAATGATCAAAATAACAGAAGAGAGTCTCTTATAATTTATATTCTTGATATCCAGTGTAGTTGCATATGAGGTGTAAATGAACAGGGATGGCGTGTATGAAAGAAACTATGAATGATTTCCAAGCACTTGAATGCCTACACGTCCCCTTACTCTTCTTCTCCTGCATCCAAAGAGCTGCCCTCTTATCTTCCCAAGAGGCCCTGAACCTCTTCTAAGGCTATTCTGGGGTGCAGAGAGAAGAGAAGAAAAAGAACACAAGAACTTGAGAAGCTGCCCCAAGCCATTTTTGTGCTTATTTGGGAGATCTGGGTATCTATCAAGTTCATGTGGGACAGTCATGAGTTGCAGCAGGTTGGATTAGATGAAGCAGAATGATCCAGGGCCGCTGTGGAGAGGGCCATCAGTCAGTATGTGGATGCCAGCATCAGACTGGAAAACTTCTGAAAAGGCAGAGTCCTATCTGATAATAAGCTGTACCTTCCTGGGAGAAGGCAGACGCCTGACACTATCCGGCACTCCTCTCTGCCAGACACCCCACTCCACAGCATCTATGCCTCTTGCAGGCTTTTAGAATTCCCAGGATAAACTTGGACTTCTACATTTCTGGAATCTCATACATCAATTGACATGATGCTGTGAAGGGAGACAGGAAGTGATTCACCTTGCCATAGGTAGAAACTGCTCTAGACTTAGTGGTCTCTAATACTTGACATAGCCCTGACAGATCAATATCACCCTAGAAATGGAGCCTTTTTCTACTCCCCACTCTTATTTGCACTAGGGGTAGTCAATCTGTAGCCCTCCAGATGTTGCTTAATGACAGCTCCCACCGGCTCACAACAGACCATTATTATCAAGGATGATGGAAGCTGTAGTCCAGAAACATCTAGACGGCATAACAGTGCCTATCACGGCCTTACACTGATGGGCCACCCTGACAATCTTCTGGATTAATGCTTCCTACCAGAGTAAGAGAGAGATGTCTGGAACCAGTGGTTTTCAACCAGTGTGGCATCCTGGTCACATTGAATTGAATGATGGTCAGGGGTGCCACGGACAAGACTGGCCTCTGTCCCTCTTTCCTTCCCTCCCTCCTCTGATGCCCTCTTGTGACCCAGCCTCCCAAAGGCTTGCACAGCCTTGGCTAGAAGCTCCCCTGGGGAATGTTGCCTCGGGGGCTGGCCAGGGCTGCTCCCAAGGCCCCTGTGGGGCAGTGTTAGGAGGTACCTCTCTTTGGGGTAGGGGGGCAGTTCAGAGACCAGGGGAGGCAGCAGCAGCTGCCCAGAGGACTCCCAAGGAGAGGGCAGAAGCGACGTGGCGGAGGGAACACGTGAGGGTGTTTGTAAAAGGGTGGGAGGCTGCCAGCTCTGCAGGCAAGGGGTGACATAACTGGGCTTTGGAGCTCCACAGGGGTGCCGCAGGAAGAGTGTAGTTGGTCAAGGTATTTGGTTATTTTTAATTCTGGGTGTCCTGCAGAAGCAAACAGATAGGACAAGATGACTTTGGAGGTCTCTTCCTAACCTTTGATTCTGTGATGTGACAGATATGTTTACTTTGGCAGTTCTCCTACTGGTGATGCAACAAAGAGCCCAAAAACATTGCAAAAGTAATTATCTCCTCTATAATTATTAAAATTATGGTAATCAATTCACCTGGAAAAACTCCAAAAGGCAGAATGCAAAATAAGAAATAAAAATTAAATCTGAAATGATTAAAAGTACACTGGTGTTCCATAGAGCACTAAGGTAAGGGAGGAGAGGTGAGGCCAACTTATGCTTTTCATTGTATTGGTTAGATTTCAAATGATAGCATTCAATGAATTTTTTGTGACAGTGCTGAATTTAATGAGAAGGTGGAGACCTGCCTCTTGAAGTACACAATTGGCAGAGTCAGCTGTCACCAAATACATCCTGGTCAAGTCAGTGTGATGATAGTAACAATATTGTAGAGAGGCGTATGAAAGTCGGGGTGAAGAAGGATATTTGTGATCAGGATGTTGTTGCTGCTGCTTCTCCTGCTGTTTCCCAATATGGTGCCCCAAGTGCATACTGTTGTTTGCAGTGGAAATAATCCTGTGCATATTCCACATGAGTGGTATGAACAAGGGGACCTTATCATTGGTGGGATAATGTCTCATATCCAATACATATTGCCCAGCATTTCCTTCAATGAACACCCATCTCAGGTCTTTATTAACAGCCCAATGTAAGTAAATGGCTCTTAAGATCATTTCATTTATTCTTTCTACATTTATATCTGAGTATGAAGTACTTTATAGTACTATAGAGACTATAAGTTCATCTGGAATGCTCTGGTCCATGGGGTCACGAAGAGTCGGACACGACTAAACGACTAAACAACAACAACAAATAAAGTACTTGGTTTGCTTTAAAACCCAAAGTAAGATTAAACCAAATAGTAAGATTTTATAATACTATTTTACCCTTGATCAGAGCATCCTCCAATGAAGCTAGACCTCCCCAGTCACAGGGGTGGCAATAGGGTTCTGCAATAAGTGGCCACACATTGGGTACAAGCCATGGGAGTGCTGTCTCAAAACCTGGTAAACAAGGCGCTGGGCTTTGGGAAGGAGGCATGGGCTCTGACAATATCCTAGAGTCCTCCTCCCCACTTCCCAAAGCTTAGTTATCGCTTTCCCAGCCTTGGGAACGGGGTGGGGGCTCGAGGACCCCTACCCGAGCCTCGTGTCTCCTTCCTTAATCCGGTCACAGCTTTACCCACCTTTGGGAAGGCCATGCAAGGGCTAAGTGGGTGCAAAATTTTGGCCTTGCCCAGGGTACCATAGTACCAAAGTCTACCACTGCCAGTCAATTCCATATAGCTAGATTTCAAAAGCCAAGATGGGCAAGGGTCAAGGGGTCCATTTGGCAGCTTCAAATCTTCAAGCACTGTCACTACAAGCACAATAATTTAAACTGATCCAGCAAAGATGGAACAGAGAGTGCTCTGTATACCATTTGACTCTCTCCAAACATGGCATGCAACTCCGAATCTGATTTATTCCATCCCTAAAGTGTTTTTAAAGTTATAATAGCAGGCTGCTAAAGTTATAAGAGAAATGTTCTCTTGGCCACATAACAAACCTATATTCAACATTGAAAAGCTCTTCCAGACAGCTAGTTGTAGACACAATTGTAGTGAAGAAGTAAGCCGTCTTCAGCACTGCCCCTTCCCTTCCATGTACCAGGTGCAGAAATGAAACCTCAACCATGTTTGAGTTGATTCTGTTTCAGATCACCACCACTTGCTCTCTAGTCATTGATCCTCCTGCCCACAGTAATATCACATGGCAGATTTGCATTGGGGAGATCTGGGTTCAAATCTCCATTTACTTGCCCAGCTACACCCTAGGGGCTTTCATGTATAAGCAAGGGGAGCGAGGAGAGCTATGAAACCCAGCTTGGGCTGCTTTAGTGAAAGATGGTATAAAATAGAAGCTATGTCTAAAGCACTTTGAAAACAATCAGGGATAAGCATTGAATGCACTTAGAAAGACTTGGATGAGGGCCATTTGAAAATTATCACTACCAGATCATCAGTCGGCATTCTTTATATTCAAAATGGCAGCTGCCAATTCCATTATCTTCATTTCATACCAGTTTGTGTTGCTAAGGACAACAACTGATGAAGGGGCTTTTTAATGATTTCAATAACTGTACATGTTTCTAGTAATAAAAAGCAACGTGGTTAGAAAAACAGAGTGTTATTAAGTGAAGATCACTTCTCAATCTTCATGTTCAGACAAATAAAAAATTTGATTCGGGTGGAAGAGAGATCCAAACATTAACTCTATAGAAACAAAATCCTTTCCGTATTTCTAACATGATTTAATTGAGGAAGTTGTATCCCTCAGATCTAAGTGTTGTGCACTGTTTAATTCCCTATAAAATGGTAAGGCATTTTATTTGCAGGGTTATGAGAAAGTTCTACCAACACATCCTGGCCTTGGTGTTTGCTGTTGATGAGATCAATGAGAATCCCAAGATCTTGCCCAATGTCACTCTTGGGTTCCACATGTATGATAGCTATTTTGATTCAAGGATGACCTACCGAAACACTCTGGATTTGCTCCTTAAATCACATTACTTTGTCCCCAACTACAGGTGTGGCATCCAGAAAAATGTAGTAGGAGTCATTGGGGGACTTAATTCTGACACCTCCTCATCCATGGCAGATGTCTTAGGTCTTTACAAGATTCCACAGGTAGAATATGGGTTTTGAAAAATTGATATTTCATGCCGTAGTTCACTCTTTTCTCCTTACACTAGGAATCTGTTGATTCCTAAATTTGAAGTGGCAAAATGGAAAAGGGAAATGGGTTGCAATTTATGGAATTTTGGGGGGGAGGTATAATATTATTACCCAACTGGGTACATGAAAGGACCTAGGTTCTAAAGAATGTGTGTATAATATATTTAATGAAAGATTTTTTGATATGTTCCAATATTATAAATGGGGTACCTCCCTGCACAGGTATGATGATCTTTAGTATTGTCCACTTTCAGAGGCTTATTGAAAACAAATTTCTTGTTATTTTTCTGGCATTTGGGGATGGATATATTTTTACCAATATGGTGTTGTTCTGCTGCATTACTAGACTACTTTTTAGTCGCCTTAATCTTTGCTGGATCATCCTTTAGGATCCCCTGAATCCTTCCATTCCTTCCACCATTCCATGGTTACTATTATCAATCTTTTCCCCCCAACTGTTTCTCTTACTTTCTCTATTCCATTTTTACCATAGGTTTTCATACATTACAAGCATTATTCAAATCCTGTCAGAGTTTTTAGTTGTTTTCCTTCTTCTCTTAAATACATTATGATTTTTTCCCATTCCTTTTTAAAGTTCTTCTCTTCTGATTTTCCCGGTCATTTTCAACATTTCAGCGTAGTCCATCAACTTCAGCAGCCATTCCTCTCTGGTCGGGACTTCTTTCCATCTCTGGGCCAGTAGTATCCATGCTGCTGTAGTCGCATACATAAATAATCGTTTCTGCTCCTTTGGTATCTCTGCATCTTTTATAAGTTATGGCTTATTGTGGTCACATAAAATTAAAATGCACAATATTCAGGAAATCTTCCGAATTTCCAGGAGATCCTCCCACAAGAGTTCTTAGTAGAAATGCCATCAGCCTCTCTCTACAAGATTATAGACCAAAAGAACATGATCAATTGCTTGTCTTTCTCCTGGTCCACTTTAGAGTATTGTTGAAGGCAGTGCAAGGATAAAAGCTCTCCTGTTCCTGGAGAGAATCTGTGTGTACAAGTATGCAGCTGTGATGACTCCCATAATAATAGGAAGTAATATCTACAAAATTAAATGAGCAATATTGTTTGTTTGGTTTTTGAGCAATATATTTTCTATGTAGATGGGGGTCGGCCCTGACTAAGATTAGTAAATATGGGATATACAGGATTTATACTCAGAAAATAGGTGCATTGTGAATTCTTGTTTCCACTTGGAAAGGTTTGGCTTTTTCCTTTTTCAGATTTCGTATGGTTCATTTGAACCAGCCACAAATGATCAAATCAAACTTGCTTCCTTCTACCACATGGTCCCCAATGAAGATCTTCAGTACAAAGGAATTATCCAGTTACTTCTGCATTTCGGATGGAAATGGGTCGGGCTCATGACTCCAAATAATGAAGCTGGAGAACATTTCTTGAAGATCATTGAACCAATGCTTTTCCAGAATGGAATCTGTTCAGAATTCACTGAAAAAATAGAATACCATCTGCATTTCACGGGTAACATACTTCATATGGTGGGTGACACTAGGCTTTTGACCCCAGCTTTCATGTCAAGCAAAGCTAATGCAGTTGTTATATATGGAGAAAGTACATCTATTTTATGGCTATCAAGTACTATAGAGGTAAGGAATATGATTCAGCTGCTATTGCCTCCATCTAAGAGGAAGCAACCTGGAGGAAAAGTATGGATTACAACAGCCCAAATTGATTTCATATTATATGCTTTTAAAAAAATTATTGAAATTAATGTACAAATGTTCCATGGTGCTATCTCGTCTGCGATTCACTCCAATGAGATTCAAGACTTTTCAGAATTCCTAAGGAGTGTAAAGCCTTCCTGGGCAGATGCAGATGGTTTTATCAACGATTTCTGGGGACAAGCATTCAGTTGTTCACTTTCAAATTCCACAGCGTCAGAAGACGCATGTACTGGAGAGGAGATGCTGGAGAGCCTTCCTGCACCATTTTTTGAAATGAGCATGACTGGCCACAGCTACAGTATCTATAATGCTGTCTATGCTTTGGCACATGCCTTACATATTAGGTATACGTCTGAAGCCATCCACAAAAGGACAAAAGGTGGAGACAGACTCTCTTCTCAGAATGTAGAGCCTTGGCAGGTAATGTTTCCTCTTATAAAGTGTTCAGTGTTCTGCACTGTGTTGATAATATATAATGTGAGTTGCAGTGGCGTAGCGTGGGGGTGCAGGGGGGGCCGGCCGCACCGGGCGCAACATCTGGGGGTTAGGGTTAGGGGGTGCAAATCCATGGGTTAGGGGGCGCAAATCCACAGGCTAGGGGGCGCAAATTACTTGCCCCGGGTGCTGACAACCCATGCTACGCCACTGGTGAGTTGGCATTCATCTATAAGTAAATAATTAAAGTAATAAATACTTCACAGATTAACTTTAAATTATTTCATTTCCTATAATTATACTAAGCAGACTTTAGATTATACAGACTTTCATAAGTGACACACAAGCAGCAACTACTTGACAAGTTAATAATTTTTCTAAAAATTTGAACATTTACAACTGGCACTGTTCCAGTATTTCTACTGGTATTTACGGTAATTAGACCAGTGCTTCCTAATTTGCTTCTGAAAAATTTGATAACTCTATGGTAGTTACCTGTGCAAAGCAATGTTTTGAAGAAAATGTGGGGTAGCCCAGAATAAGCAAAGGATTTTAAGTATACTGGAAAATAGACCATAAAATTGGTGATTTTACCATGCAAAAATGACCAAGATTTAGTTGGAGGGGAGACATATTTAATTTCATTAAAGTATAGTAAAATGTAGAAATTATGACACACATACACATGCTGCTAGAAATGTCATAATTTCTTCATTGTACTATAATGAAATATATACCAGGAACCAGACAGAGGGCCTTCTTTGTAGTGACGCCCTCCCTGTGGAACGCCCTTGCTTCAGATGTCAAGGAAATACAGAACTACAAAACTTTTAGAAGACATCTGAAGGCAGCCCTTCATTGGGAAGTATTTAATGTTTGATATTTTATTATTATTATTTATATGCACCATTCCTCTGGCTGGGATGCCTCAGCCACTTCAGAGTGTATCTCAAGCTGCCTGAAATGACCGTTCTAGCCAGGTACACTATGTTTCAACCCACATTGTGCGATCTGGTGTGCATGTGTGATGTCATGTGCTACATGTGATGTCACAGATTTGGAGGCGCCCGGGCAGGCCTATCCGGGCCTTTCAGAGGGATCTCTAAGGCTTCTCCCAAAGGGTCTGTAAGGGGTTCCATTGCCCACTGCTGCAGGAGGGCCCACCAGAGCCCTTCCGGCTGCAGAATATTGAGGGCTCCTGGCTCCATCATTAAAAATTTTGTGGGTGCCTGGGAACCCAGGGCCATGCAGTGATGGTGCCAGTGCCAGGCTGTTTGACTACAGCTGCTCATCTGATTGGGGCACCATAGCCACTCTGGGAAGTCTCTGTCAAATTAAAACGCAAGACATGAAACATTTAAAACTTCCCTATACTGGGCTCCCTTCAGATGTTTTCTAAAAGTCAGATTGTTGTTCATTCCCTAGACATCTGATGGGAGGGCGTTCAGCAGGGCAGGTGGCTCCGTGCTTTCTCCATTCAGCATCTGGGCTGAATGATTGGGGTGCGGATGCTCCTTCAGGTATATAGGAGCAGACACTAAGGGCTATAAAGGTCAGCATCAACCCTTTGCATTTTACTTGGAAATATAATGGGAGCCAATGGAGTTCCTTTAAGACCGGTGTTATATGTTCCTGGCAGCCACTCACAGTCACCAGCCTGGCAGCTGTGTTTTGGATTAGTTTTAGTTTCTGAGTCAACGTCAAAGGTAGCCCAACATAAAGCGCACTGCAATAATCCAAGCGGGAGATAACCAGAGCCTGTTCCATTCTGGGGAGACACAGCACAGGCAGGTAGGGTCTCAGCTGGAATACCAGACAGAGCTGGTAGACAGCTGCCCTGGACACAGAATTGACTTGCACCTTCATAAACATCTGTGAGTCCAAAATGGCTCCCAGGCTGCACACCTGGTCCTTTAAGGCCACAATTACACCATTCAGGGCTAGGGAATCCCCCCCCACCTACCTGCCCCCTGCCCCCTGTCCTCTGAAAAACTACTTCCATCTTGGTGGGATTGAATCTCAATCCATTAGCGACCATCCACCCCCTAACTGCCTTCAGACACCCAAACAGCCCCTAAAACTGAATTTCCTATCGAAGTAAATATCGAAGTAAATCAAAAGAAGCGAGGCATTGGTAAGAGATCCCACAAGAAGAAAGCTGAAACTAAAAAGAAAAGTAAGAATATAAAAACTGCAAGGAAATCTGTTACAAACCGACGTGCATGCAAAGTATGCTGGAAAAGACTATATAAGCTGATTCCAACAAAATCAAAAACAAACTCTAACAAACCTGCTATACATGGCAGCAGAGAGAACAACAGTGTGGATCCAGGAAAAAAGATCCAGCTGAAGCCTTTGAAAGAAACATCATTGCTGCCTAACAAAACAAGTGAGGAAACGGAATCACTACCCGGGTGCTCTATGCTGAAACCCCAAGGATCCACAAATATTAAAGAAGACTCACCCCATACTATTGATTATGGCAGATTTCAAGATGAGCCAGTAGCAGGGCAAGACTTGCCCCAGGATAAAGGATGGAAACTGATGTTGGCAGATAGGAAGTTAGCTTTTCTTAACTACCCGAAGCCAAAGGGCTTCCTTACACAGGAAGAACGCTCGGTGCATTTTGTGAATATTTTAGATGATATGCTGCCAGGGAAAATAAAATTAAATGACATTATCTCAGTAGATTTCATATTCTACAATGGACATTCTCTGCGAGTGATTGCCTCCTTCAAAGATCAAAACTTGGCTAAATATATATATAGATCAAGACATCTGCTGTCAAAGAAAAGGATAACGGTAACAAGATTTTTCGAAAACAGCACATGTTTGAAATTGTTCCCTGATGAGTTTACGACAGCTGAGATAAGATTTACTTGTAAACCAAAGGAGGAGAGAGGACACTCAAAAGACAAACTGGAACATACTGAGCAAGGGCCCTTGAAACTAAGACAGGAGATGAGATTGCCTAATGAGGGGATGGATAACTTCTATCCAGAAGAAAAGGCATTAATAAATCAGTTTGGATTGTTGCCTTTCCTTGCCCAATCTGAGATCTTGAGAAGATTGGAGACCCTTAGAAATAAGTTAACAGAGATGAATGCTCAGGAAAAAGTAAGAGAGAAAGAACCGGCAACGGACCAATTGAAGAAAGAGAATCTCTCTGAAAAAGCCAAGACAGACCCCATGAAAGATTACTCTTATAATACCTCTACAATTGCGGAGATAAACCTGACAGCAACAGATCTAACACAGTGCGTAAGGGACAGCAACAATCTACCATCTAAGAAGGAAACCATCCCTATGACAACCACAACGCGCTCCTGGACCAGCATGAGATACCTGGATGAGGATGAACTTGGTATCAGTCAAATAGAACACCTCAAGGTAGATTCGCCAAAAAAAGGAGTACTGATCACTAATGTTAGCACGCTGCACCCTTCAACTGATTCCATTGAGTACCTGGGCGATAATACATCTATGGACATTGCCAAAATGAATGAAATTCAACCAACAGATAAAAAGATAGGCCCAAAAAATCTTTTAAAGGCAAATTGACTAAGATCAATTTTTGGCAAGACAACGTGCAACCTTGCCTTGCTAACTTGGAATATTGCAGGTTGGCAAAAGAGGGTTTCTGACCAATCCTTTGCTAAATATATCCAGAGACATGACATTGCGTTTCTCCAGGAGACCTGGAGCACAAGTGAAGTGGAGTTAAATGGTTTTTCTGCGTTCTCCCTCCCAGGTCTTTTAAGTACTAGAGGGGGGCGAGTTAAAGGTGGGCTAGTTACTTTAATCTCAACAAGGCTAAGGGCCACATTTAAAAAACTAGACCCACTAGACCATCTGGCCACAGCTGTGCAAGTACAGTGGAGAACCCACAGCTGGCTGCTGATTAATGTATACCTACCCCCACAAAGAGAGAAAAGATTGATAAGAAATACTTGGGCTCAGTTAGAACAGTATCTTGACAAACTACTAAATCAATTTCCTGATGCCTCTGTAGTGGTGGCAGGCGACCTAAATGCCAGAACTGGACAATCTGATGAGGCTTTGTGTGCCCATTTCCACGAAACAGTCCCCATTATAGAGGAAACCCACCCAATACCAGCTAGAATCTCAAAGGATAAAGGCTGCAATTATGCCGGCTTATGCTTACTACACTTGGTCAATAAGTTGGACTTGGTTATACTAAATGGCCGTACAGAGGGGGAGAAGGTCGGAGAATTCACATTTATATCTAACAATGGCGCCTCCACAATTGATTATATAATCGTGTCGTATGATCTTCAAAACAAAGTTCTGGAATGCAAAGTGGAGGAGCGCTTAGACAGTGACCATCTGCCATTAAGTGCACTCGTAGCTGCGGGAAAGGATTTATCCTGCGCTGAAAAAATCGAGCATTCGAGCCCTACAGCTTTGGAGCTCAGATATTCGCGCATTAGATGGACAGATGAACTGCATAAGGAAATTTCAAGTAGGCTATGCTCAAAGGAATTCCTCACTAAGAGAGAAAACCTTATAACTTCCTCAAGCCATGAATTAAAGATAAATTTATTTCAGGAGTTAATTTTACTCCTTCAAGATTCCCTGAAGGAAAAAAGGAACAGGCCAAGTAGGCAACCCTCAGCATATAAAAACTCCAAACCCTGGTTTGATCAAGAATGTCAGGATATGAAGCTAAATTTACTGAAAAAATACAAGAATTATAGATCTGCCAAACTACCCCAACTCCCCCCGGGCTGGTTTGAAGATAAACGAAATTATAAAATTTTGATCAAAAACAAAAAACTCCTGGCACAGAAAAGAGAATGGAAATGCCTAATAGATGCATCCAGAGAGAGAGATTCGGCCACCTTCTGGAGACTGGTAGCAAATGGAGTGCAATCTACTTCCTCAGAAGTGGAGTATACTATACCTGCAGGGACTTGGGAGGCATTTTTCCAATCTTCATATTCAGCTCTGCCTTTGACACAGCCACTAATACAGTGTGCGGCAGGTGATGAGTGGCCTCCGGTGTCGGTCGCGGAGATTAGGAGGCTTATTCAGGCACTCAAACACAGAAAAGCCCCGGGAGCAGATAACATCTCTCCTGAACTTCTCAAAGCCAATATTGACTGGTGGGCCCCAGTCCTTGCCACCCTTTTCACCAGCATAGATCAAACAGCAATAATACCAGAGGACTGGGGATTGGCAATCATCGTTCCCATATTCAAGAAAGGCTGTAAACTTGATCCAGCCAATTACAGACCAATCAGTCTTTTAAGCATCATCAGCAAACTTTATGCAACTCACTTACGTGAAAAGTTTGCGGACTGGCTGGAACAGGAGCACATCCTAAAGGAAGCCCAGGCTGGTTTCAGGGCACATAGATCAACTCTAGACCAAGGATTGGTATTGCAACATCTAGTGGAGAAATACACCTCAAAGAAAGGAGGCTCTCTCTATGTAGCCTTTATAGATTTCAAATCAGCCTTCGACTCGATACCCCGGCACAGACTTTGGGAAAAACTAAATGTCACAAACATCGATAGACGTCTTTTGCTTCTTATCCGTAGACTACATGAAAATACTCGGATCCGTGTTAGATGCGACCGTTATGGGAACCTATCAAAGGAAATCCAAAGTTCCCATGGTGTCAAGCAAGGCTGTGTTCTTGCCCCTATTCTTTTTAACTTCTATATAAACTCCTTAGTCGGAAAGATGGAGGAAGCAAGTACTCATTCCCCAAATCTAAATAATACACCAATCCCGGTCCTTTTGTACGCAGATGATGCGGCACTTATTTCCTTCTCTTGTGTGGGTCTAAGAAAACTTTTACGAGCTCTTACAGAGTATTGCGAAGCTGAACACCTAATAATAAATTACACTAAATCAAAAATTATGGTGTTCTCCAAGAGAAAACTCCGACATAAATGGAAAATTAATAACCAACCTATTGAGCAAGTAACATCTTTTAGATATCTTGGAATAATTTTTGATGAGAAGGGATCTTGGTGCCATCAGATAAAGAATTCCATTGTAAATGCGCAAAGATCTTCCAGAGCTATCATAAGATTCTTTTACAGAAAAGGAGGTCAATATGTTCCTGCTGCCTCCCAGGTCTTTGTTGCAAAAATACTTCCACAATTGATGTATGGCACCCAGATATTTAATTGTCAAAAACTCAAGTCCCTGGAATCTGTACAAACTAAATTTTATCGTTCCCTACTAGGGTTACCTACCTGTGTCTCTAACACTGCCATTAGGCTGGAGGTAGGCCAACTCCCTATTAATGCCAGGATATGGATCCTGAAGATTCACTTCTGGCTAAAACTCATATTTTTCCCAGTGGGAGTGGCTCCATTGACTCTACTAGACCCGTTCCAGTCTAAATGGAGATTGTCGCTTTATGAAAAATTGAGGGGCCTGGGGCTTTCCCCACAAGAACTCATAGCCTCAGGCTTTGAAAAGGCTAAAATGATGGTGAGCCAGCGAATAGGAGATGTAGAGCTTCAGGACCATATGAGCAAGATAGATAAATATCCAGCTATCCAAGATTATGAAAAAGGGTTTAATCTAACCCCATATTTGCTGGACCTACAAATTGCAAAATATAGGCGGGCGTTTACCCTTACCAGATTTGATGTATTGCCATCTGCCTTACTAAAGGGCAGATACGAGGGCACACCCTATGCTGAACGAGTTTGCCCATGTGGTCTGAAGGAGGTGGAAACGGCTTCACATGTGCTGTTACACTGCGACCTTTACAGGGATATCAGGTTACTGTTTATCTCCCCTATCGTTCAGAAATTTCCAGGTCGATCTGAATCTCAGCGGCTGAAAATCCTACTAGGAGATAAAAACCCAGAAGTAACACTGAAAGTGGCCAAGTTTTCTGCGGCCGCGATCAAGCGGAGGGCATTAGCTGTAAAAAAGTAAAAGATCTGACCCCTGGATAAGCCCCCCCCCCTTTTTAAGCCCATACATATACTGTAGTGCATATATGAGTATGTATATGTGCGTGTGTGTGGGTGTGGGTGTATATGTATATTGTTTTTATGTATAATTTTACAACTTTTAATTGATACTATCATTCCCTTGTAAATTATTGCTGCCTTTTATGTTTTTTTTTCTTTTCTTCTGGTCTATGACCGTAATAAATTTATTCATTCATTCATTCATTCACCCAAACAGGATGTTCACACCCAAACAGGATGTCTTCTGACTCTCTTTCCACCTAGCTCCACTCATTGCTGCAGAGAATCTCATTCAACAATAGTGCTGGGGATGAAATCACATTAAATGAACATGGAGAATTAGCAGCTGGCTTTGATATTACAAACCTGGTCACTTTCCCAAACAATTCATATGTCAGGGTCAAAGTTGGAAGGCTGGATCCGCAGGCTCCTCCTGGCAAAGAACTCATCATTAATGGGAACAGAATCCAATGGCACAGAGTCTTCACTCAGGTAAGGAAATCACTGTACACAGGTGCGAGGGCTTCTAGTTTTGCCACTTGAGGTGAAAAGTGAAGTGCTGCCCAACTGCTGCTGCCACTACTAATAATGCTACTAATAATTTTATTAATAAGTAAACAAATGAACCACATTCATAAAAAATAGCATTATGCACAAAAGACTTCATGAATTTGAGTGTTGAGTTGGAATCATAGAAGCAGGTGTGTATGAAGGTGTTTGTCAGATTGGCTTCTGCCACGGGCCCAGGCCCAGGAGGAGACCACAAAATGCCTTCCTCAGAGTGTCTTGGAGCCCAGCTGCCCATCCATGTACCCCATGGGCTGCTGGACAAGGCATGAAGGATTCTCTCTGTGCCTCAGTGGAGGAATCCAGCTGCTGGCATTGGCCATCAGAGCAGCTGTGTGGCTCCGCATCCCCAGTTGGCCAGTGGAACTATCATAAGTGTGAGTGGAGTGCCAAGCAGGGCTTGGGGGGGGAGAAAAGAGAGGGAGAGAGGAAGGAAGGAAGGAAGGAAGGAAGGAAGGAAGGTAGTGAGTGAAGGGGGGATGCAGGAAAGAAGGCAGACAGACTGACCAAGGAGGGCAGGAGGCAAAACCGATGGCCAAGGAGAAAGTGACCGAAGGAGCACAAAAGGTGACAAAAAGCAAACTCTTTGAGTTTCTTTTCCATGGTCCCTCCCAACTTTGGAGGCACTGATATATCTCCTTGCCAAAGGCACAAGAAGCCTAGGTACACCACTGCACTGAAGGCATCAATATCCTCACAAGCAGATCTCAGTTATACTGGAACTAAAGATGGCAGTATGATTGCTCTTGCTTTCAGGATATATATTGGTAAAGAAAAACAGCGCTGTGAAAAGCTCGACCACAGCTGACTTATGAAGGAGAAATCTTCAGTACTTTGGTCCAGAAAGGAATTATTATTTTAAAAGATATTTATTAGATCTGCCTTAATTCCGTTATGCCTTGAACAATGCCTGTTTTCTCAAAATAAATACATAAATAAATTCTGTATAAAGTAAGGTACCATTGGAATATTGACTTAAGATAGTCCTCTTTCAGGTTCACATAGATAAACTTTTTTGGAATATTTTAATGCCCACATCCATTTTGCTTTCAGAAATGTTAAACCAATATTTGCTAAATACCATGCCCATTTCCTTGTATATGAAGGATGAAGAGATTCTTTTTTCATATATTGAGAATCATTGGGGGAAATGTTGGAAATATTTCTTTTTGAAAAATGACACCAGAATTTATAAACTGATTTTGTAGAGAACAAAAAGTTCCAACTTATTATGTGTACACATTGTATTGTAGTCCCCTGTCTTTTTATAAAGCTGGTTTTATAAAGCCAGTCCATCACAACCCCAATGCATCTGCCCACCATCTTCACTTCATCTTCACTTTATTCCAATGGTATAAGTGGTAGGGACCGTCCAAATATGAGCAGAACCAAAATATTTCACTACTTCCAAATCCCAACACCTTGAACCTCACTAAAGGGACATCAAGTGAATTTCCTAAAGCAAAGGGCATGAGGCTGCAGTTCCATCAAAACAAATAACCAATTGTAGTATTAGATTGGATTATGTGATGGTTGCAGCATTAATCAATCTAGATATGAAAAATTTTAATCTTCTTGTGTTTGTATGATGCTTAGAACTGTAGCTTTTTATCACACTATATGTGCTGCTTTGGCACATTAACATTTCTGGCCCACCTACTTAATGGTAGATCACCAGATGTTAGATGAATCCCCTAAAACATTTTCTTAATATTAACCTCTTCGTGTCGCTTTGGATAGGTGCCACCCCTTTCCTTATGTAATGCCAACTGTCTTCCTGGTTATGAGAAGAAAAAGAAGGAGGGGAAGAAGTTTTGTTGTTATGATTGTGATCCATGTCCTCGTGGGATGTTCTCAGATGAAAAGGGTGAGAGATGTCATATTACCATATACAAGTTATTTTAACATATTCTGATCAAATCGGAAGTGGGGTTTGCTCTGTCTGATACCAATTTATATTGATTAAATGGACATAAATCCGACATCAAGAATCACAAGACAGAGAAACCAGTAGGAGAACACTTCAATCTCCCAGGACATTCTATACAAGATCTCAAAGTAGCTGTTTTACTACAAAGGAATTTCAGAAATAGACTGGAAAGAGAAGCTGCTGAATTACAACTCATTACCAAACTTAAAACCATGGAGAGACCTGGTCTGAACAAAGACATTGGATTCTTATCTCATTATACATGACAAAGCCATTTTTCACCCCTTGCTTTTTCCTGTAAGACCTATTGCAGTCGTTAAGAGTCGTCAACAGGCTCATCACAGCTATCTGCCAATCACCCATTCCCACCACCCTTCTGAGTAATACCCCTCCCCACCTTCTCACTATATAGAAGGATCTGGCAACTTCTGTTTCAGTGTATCTGAAGAAATGTGCTTGCACACGAAAGCTCATACCAAGAACTAACTTAGTTGGTCTTTAAGGTGCTACTGGAAGGAATTTTTTTTGGTTTTGTTTTGTTTCAATTTATATTGTTTATTAACAATAGCAGAATGATTTCACTTCAGTCTCAGTAAAAGCTGCCACTATGAAGAAATGATCTTAACCTTCTAGGGAGTATACCATGAGGATGTGAGCTTGATCTGTAACGTAAAGATTTTCTAACACTGTATCCACACAAATTCTAAATTGTTTAATGCAGTTTACTCTTGCCAGTGGCTCACTGCTGTACTGCCAGCTGTACTGCCACATCTTAATAACACATTTTAACAATCTAAACCATGAGTGTATGTCCGCCCGCTCTGTTTTGAAGCAACAAGACATAAAATTTTTACATGTTTTGAAGCAACAAGACATAAAAATTTTACATGGAAGAAACTATAGTTTTGGGGGAGGGAGGATGCAACAGAAGTGGTAGTTTTTTCTCTAAGAAGAAAGCTCTTTGGGGACCTTATCTTCAAAGCATCTAGGGCACAAGCATTTGGGTGAAAAGTTTTGAAACACTATCATAAGGGGACTTGTGTAAACAAAAAACAAAAAAAACCTCATAAGCATATTTGGGTTGTTTCCAATGGTTATATCACCTTTTTTCAGGGTTGGAAACCTGTACCAGATGTCCTCTGGATCAATATCCAAATGAAGAGCAGAATGAGTGCATTCCCAAGAAACCAAACGTGCTAGGCTTTGGTGAAGCTTTGGCCATGATTTCAACTTTCTCTGCACTTTTATTCTCTCTGATCACAGCTATGGTACTTGGCATTTTCATTAAGCACAGGGATACTGCTATCGTCAAAGCCAATAACAGAAGCCTCACTTACATTCTCCTCATCTCCCTCCTCTTGTGTTTCCTTTGCTCCTTGATGTTCATTGGAATGCCTAATAAGGCAACCTGCCCACTCCGACAAACGGCTTTTGGCATTGTCTTCTCTGTGGCCCTCTCTAGCATCTTGGCCAAGACTATTTCAGTGGTTTTGGCATTCATGGCTACAAAGCCAGATTCCACAATCAGGAAGTGGGTAGGCAGAAAACTGGCTTATTCCATTGTCCTTTCCGGCTCCATTGTTCAAGTAGGACTCTGTGTCTTCTGGCTGGCAACCTCAGCCCCATTCCCAGATGTGGACATGCACTCAATGACTGAAGAAATTATATTCTTATGTAATGAAGGGTCAGTTCTCATGTTCTATTGCGTTTTAGGCTACATGGGCTTTCTGGCCATTATCAGCTTAACTGTGGCCTTCTTAGCCAGGAAGTTGCCAGACAGCTTCAATGAAGCCAAGTACATCACCTTCAGCATGCTGGTCTTCTGCAGTGTTTGGTTCTCCTTTCTTCCTACATATTTGAGCACCAGAGGAAAATACATGGTGGCTGTGGAGATCTTCTCCATCTTGGCTTCCAGTGCTGGGCTGCTGGGTTGCATCTTTTCCCCTAAATGCTACATTATTGTGGTGAGGCCTGAGCTGAATAACAGAGAGCAGCTGATACGGAGAAAGATGTAAATAACAGTAGAGTTTGTTGTTTCTGTATCTAGAATCTGTAGAATTGTTAGCATGGTAATTTCCCTGTGGTTTTTCAAGAAAGGAATTTACCTGAAATGATCAAAATAACAAAAGAGATTGTCTTATCATTTATGTTCTTGATATCCAGCATGAGGTTTAAATGAACTGGGCTTATGTGTATGAAAGAAATTATGGATGATATCCAACCACTTTAATGCCTACATGCCCCCTTACTCATCTTCTCCTGCATCCAAAGGGATGCCACCTATCTTCCCAAGAATCCCTGAACCTCTCCTGTGCAGATGATGGGGTATAGAGAGAAAAGGAATGCAAGAACTTGAGAAGCTGCCTTTTACTGAGTCCTTTAGTCTATCCAGCAGGGCTGTGCACCAGATTTGACCATGACCCCAAGCCAAATTGAGCCTATTTTGGGTGATCAAATTCAGGTGAGACAGCCATGAATTGCAGTACATTGGATGCAAGATACTTTGTCTTTGCGATATGCCTAACTGCTCTAGCAACCAAACCAGTGTATAAAGTTGACTGAGCCATTTCAAAAGCTGCAGAAAGTAATGGCAAGTAAATAGAGGGAACCAGGCAATAAAGATACTCACTTTATGTTTAGGTAAGGATGAAGAAGAAGGTAAGAATCCAGTCCTAATGGCCAAAGATTGCTTGCCCACTGCCACTCTCAAGATTCAGTGTGCAGCTTGTGTCATCACACCTCAAGGAAGCCAGTCAAGAACTGACTCTGTGTTAATTACCAACCCAACCATCCCCCTACATGAATGGAAAGTGAGAATTTCATGGGAACAGTAATTCTATAAAGTCATGTATCCTGTATGTTTGATTCATTTTGAAGCCCCTACATGTATGTATTCATTTATGTTGTTTATAATATGTTGAAGCAGAACATTTAAAAGTGCTCCAAACTGAAAATCACATGTGCACTTCGTTAGAAATTCTAGGCACAAAAAGACACCTCTAATCAATTTTAGAATTCCCAGGATAAACTTGGATTTCTACACTTGGATTTCTACACTAGAATTTCATACCTCAATTGACCTGGGGCTGTGAAGGGAGACAGGAAGTGACTCATCTTGCCATACGTAGACAGTGCTCCAGACTCAGAGGTCCCTAATATTTGTCATACCCCTAGCAGAACAATATCTACACCCCACTCTTACTTGCACCAGGGGTAGTCAATCTGTGGCGCTCCAGATGTTGCTGAACATCAGCTCCCATCAGTTTTCAACAGACCATTGTTATCAAGGATGATGGAAGCTGTAGTCCAGAAACATCTGGACAGCATAACAGTGCCTATCACTGCCTTACACTGATGGGCCACCATGACAGTCTTCTAAATGAATGCTTCCTACCAGAGTAAGAGTCAGTGGTTTTCAACCAGTGTGCCATGGCATCCTGGGGTGCCTTGAATGATGGTCAGGGGTGCCACAGTCAACACTGGCCTCTCTTCCTCTTTCCTTTCCTCCCTCCTCTGATGCCCTCTTGTGACTTGGCCTCCCAATGTTTTCCACAGCTTGGGCTACAAGCTCTCCAGGTGACTGCTGCCTCTGGGGCTGACCAGGGGGTGCTTCCAAGGCCCCTGTGGAGGTACCCATTTTGAGGTAGGGGGTAGCTCAGAGACCAGTGGCAGGAGCAGCAGCTGCCTGGAGGATTCCCAAGGAGAGGGGAGAGGAGAGGAGGCAGGGGGAACATGCCACAAGGGAGGGTGTTAGAAAGGGAAGCTGCCAGCTCTTCAGGCAAGGGCTCCTCAGTCCCATAGGGGTGCCACAGAAAGAATGTAGTTGGTCAGGGAGCCGTGGACTCAAAAAGGTTGAAAACCTCTGTCTGCAGGCTCTCTTGAAAAGCCCTTCCATCTTTGGCTCAACGCCGTAATCAGAAACAGGCAAGGCTTGACAGTGATCAACTTTATAACTCAGAAACAAAGGAGGTATCACACTGCACATCCATCAGCTAAGCAAGTCAGTTGAAGAAGCTAAATTTCCTGCCCTTTTCACCCTGTTTCTACCTCCCTTCTTAATTGTTCCAACCTTTTCTTGACTCTTTGAGACTGAGAATGGGGTACGGGAAGGAGCTGGATCACTACTGTATTGCAGAGAAGACACAACCCCTACTCCTTCTCTATCAGTGTCTGTGGCTACCTCAATCATCTCCCTTTCACCTTTCACCTTCACTCTCCAGTGGTGATTCCTCTCTGTCCCACCATTTTGAACCTGGTTCAAAGTCCCCTTCCCCCTCAGGTGCCTCCTGGGTTACTGGCTGCCACTACTCTTCCTCGTCCAGCCAGGCCCTGACATTGTCTTAGCTATTCCTAAACATGTCACTCAGCTTCAAACGGTATACTGTATACATGTTCTTTCAAAAGTAGGTGGACTGTATTATCCAGGGTCTCTATATCCTGATATGGTTTGGACCATTTCCATCATTGTTTCCAAGATCTAGCAAGTGGAATCAATGTTACATATGTCAGAGAGTGTCAATACAAGTAGGAAATTAGACAAATGGGGAAATGATGTATTTGGCTCACCTATAAACACATTTTTTTAGGGAAAAGATGGATGCCAGTCTACAGGTGGGGTGTTTTTCTTTTTCTTGGTTTGTTTTTAGTTCTGGATGTCCTACATCAGCAAGGAAATAGCACAAAATGACCTTGGAGGTCTCTTCCTAACCTTTGATTCTGTGATGTGAAAGACAAAAGTGATTATCTCCTCTGTAATTATTAAAATTATGGTAATTAATTCACCTGGAAAAGCTCCAGAATGCAGAATGGGAAATAAAATCTGAAATCATTAAAACAACCCCAGTGTTCCACTGACAGCTATGGTAAGGGAGGAGAGATGAGGCCAGCTTTTGCTTTTCATTGTATTGGTTATATTTCAAATCTTAGCATTCAATTACTTTTTTTGGCAGTGCTGAAGTTAAGGAGAAGGTGGATACCTGCCCCATTAACTACAGAATTGGCAGAGTCAGTGGTCACAAAATACATCCTGTTCAAGTTAGGCTGATGACAATTACAATATTGTAGAGTCGGGGTGCAGAAGGATATTTGTGATCAGGATGTTGTTGCTGCTGCTTCTCCTGCTGTTTCCCAATATGGTGCCCCAAGTACATACTGTTGGTTGCAGCAGAAATAAACCTCTCCATATTCCACATGAGTGGTATGAACAAGGGGACCTTATCATTGGTGGGATAGCATCTCATATGGATTACATATTGCCCAGCATTTCCTTCCATGAACATCCATCTCAAGTCTTTTTTAACAACCCAAAGTAAGTAAATGGCACTTAAGATCATTTCATTCATTCTTTCTACATTTATATCTGACTATAAAGCATTTGGTTTGCTTTGAAACCCAATGTAAGATTAAACCCAATACTAAGATTTTATAAGACTATTTTATAACCTGCTTCAGGATACATAGCATCTCTCCATCTTCCAATGAAGCTAAGATTACTCACTAGACCTCACTAGTCGCAGGAGCAGTGTTCAGGATCTGTGAACACTGTGCACACATTGGGCACAAACTTATTGAGAGTGGTGTCTCAAACCCTGGTAAGCAAGGCACTTGGCTTTGGGAAGGAGGCATGGGCTCTGAGAAGGTCCGAGAGTCCTGCTGCCTCCTAAAACCTAGTTAGCACTTTCCCAGATTTGGGAACTGGGCGGGGGTCTCAAGGAACCTACCCAAGCCTTGTTTCTCCTTCCTTAATCCAGTCACAGTTTTACCCACCTTTGGGAAGGCCATGCAAGGGCTAAGTGGGTGCAAAATTTTGGCCTTGCCCAGGCTGCCCATAGTACCCAAATCTGTCACTGCCAATCAATCCCATATAACTAGTTTTTAAAAGTCAAGATGGTCAAAGGTCAAGGGCTCTGCTGGGTAGCTTCAGTTCTCCAATCCCATTCACTACATCCTCAGGCCACAATAATTTAAACTGATCTAGCAAAGATGGAACAGAGAGTGCACTGCATACCATTTGACTCGCTTCAATCATGGCATGCAACTCCGAATCTGATTGATTACATCCCTAAAAAGTTTCTAAAGTTATAATAGCAGGCTGCTAATGTTATAAGAGAAATGCGTTCTTGGCCAGATATCAAACCTGTATTCAACATTGAAAAGCTCTTCCATGCAGCTAGTTGTGTACACAATTGTGATGAAGAAGTAAGCTGTCTTCACCACAGCCCTTTCCCTTCCACTTTCCAGGTGCAGAAATGAAACCTCAGCCATGTTTGAGCTCATTCAGTTTCAGGTCACCAGCACTTGCTCTCTAGCCATGATCCTCCTGCCCACAGTAATTTAGCATGGCAGGCTTTCATTATGGAGATATGGGGTCCAATTTTTCTTTTCTTGGCCAACTATTATCTAGGAGCTGTTTCCATGATGCTTTGAACAGTAACATTTTCTCCCACTATTTGTGCTACCTGGGCACATACGGATCCTACAGCTAACACTTCTGGCCCTCCTATTTACTTTCATGAGTATGCAAGGGGATAACTGAGACCTATGAAACCCAGCTTGTGCTGCTTTGGTGAAGGCTTATATATAATTGAAGTCATGTCTAAAGCACATTGAAAACAATCAGGGACAAGCTTCAAGTGCACATAGCAATAATAGGATGAGAGCCATTTAGTCAATCGGCATTCTTCATACTCAAAATGGCAGCTGCCAATTCCATTATCTTCATTTCATACCAGTTTGTGTTGCTAGGGACAACAACCGATGAAGTGGCGCTGTAATGATTTCAATAACTGTACATGTTTCTAGTAATAAAAAGCAACATGGTTAGGAAAACAGAATGTTATTAAGTGAAGATCACTTCTCAATCCTTGTGTTCAGACAAATAAAAAAATTGATTCAGGTGGAAGGGACATCCAAACATTAACTCTAAAGGAACAAAACCATTTCCATATTTCCAACACGATTTAATCGAGGCAGTTGTATCCCTCAGATCTAAGTGTTGTGCATTGTTTAATTCCCT